ATCGTGAAGGCAGTGGACAAGAGGATTTCGAAGGAAAATTTGAAAAAAGACGAAATTAGATCCTGCGGTGTGGAATCATCTTCCGAGGCAGTTCTCATGAATAGAGCGAATATTCTACCGATTATTTATGGCGCCCTGTGCTCTCTTGTCTTCTGGTCCCTTCAGTTTTCTATGAGCTGTGATATGTCATGATTTTTTAATGATTAATAGATGAATAAATGATGTTTTGTAGAACCATCCTTCAGTGGAATGGTAAAACGAGATGATACGGTTTTTTTATGGGATTTTTTTATTAATTCATTTTTAAAATCTGAAATGTTTCTAATTTTTTATTTCGTACGAAATATACAATAAAAATTGGCTTGTAAAGTAATTCAGTGGAATTTGATTTGCCTTTGTAATTTTTTCTATTCAAACATTTTCTAGGGAAAATCCTTAAAACAATTTCTTCTTGTCATCTTGATTTTTTTATAAAAAAATTATTTTCAAACCGATAAATTCGAACTCGCGAAACAAAAATTAATTGTCAATTGAAAAAGAAGAATAAAAAACAAAAACCATTCGGCTCCATATTTTGTAAATTGACAGCAGCATAAATTATCCGTTCCGTTTTGCAATTGACCCTTTCGACCTCAGAACATAAATAAATCAGAAGAAAAATCAGAAAAATTCTAGTGCTATTTACTCAGTCCTAATTTAATTATTGCTCTCGTAACGTACAGGAAATAAATTCGAAATTTTCTACAGACAATTACCAATCCACGAAAAGCGGTAAGAGTTAATAATTTACGTACATAACAGTTGATATTAATTAAATATTAATCAAATATTGATAAAATGAAATAATATACCGCAAGGTGCAATTTTTGACATCTAAAAGATCTTTTTCAAAAATTTCGTTAAATTTCGTCTGATGTATTTCACAAGAGTTAAAATTAATATCTCTCCCATTTTTCTAAAATCCCAATAAAAACTGAAATCATCTCTTGTATTTGTTTGCTGTTGTCAATAATTTAAGATGGAGGATAAAAATCCAAGTGGAACCTGTGAACTGACAGATGATAGAGATGAAGAATATGATCGATTAGAATTCGAGACGATTGAACGCATTAATCGTGGTCTGAACAGTCTACGATACATCTCATCAACCGGTGACGAGAACAGTCTGGAACATCTCCTGGAATTATCGGAATTATCAGAATTTGAAAGTCCAGATGAAGACACTATAGAATTCGTCGAGTCATTCGTAACAGACCCAGGAGAACAAAAATTGCTAATCGAAGAGGACGACGACTTCCTGACGGAAATCGAGAATACAGGAGATGATAGTCTGAGTTGTTCCCAAAAGATAAATCCCCTCGAGGAAGTTAAAAAATCATCAGAAGCTCTATCAGCCATCGAAAGTGCCACCTCACACCATGAACACTCAGAAATCCAAAGTGAATCTTCACCAGGACAATCAAAATACTTCTTCTCCAATTTATTCAGCACCAGGAGAGACTCGACGTCATCATCTGCATCATCGTCCGATGGAAAAAAAACGTATCTCTCTCGTTTATTCAAACGTAAGAAGTCAGAGCCAGCGAGTCCAGTGTCGAACGATTCAATTCCATCATGCAACTCTGAAAATGACGTACAAGAAGTGGAATCATCTCATCTCACTGTTGCAGAACAATTGATCCAAGATACCGAAGCTCAGGGTCCAGCAGGAACTCCTCACTTAAGTTCATTAGCAAGAGTGGTTGGTCGTCCGATC